GAGCAATACTTGCATTTCTTTTTCAAAATTATAACCAGTATTGTAAACCTCATAAATTTCTAATGATTTACTTCAGTGATTTTATACTCAGGTTCAAAGTTGGTTTAAAAAACCAGTATCTCTAACATTCGCATCAGCAGTTCGATTCGACACTAAACGGTTTGTAATTTTAGAATATTTAGTTTACTATGAATATACGATAAAAGCGGTGAGTAAAACTGCACCAAAAAATGTTGTAGTTTCCAAAAGGAAAGATGTTTTGTTCCACCAATTCAACACACTGACCCATATTTAACCATATTCTTTGTTTATTAAAACTAGGCACTTGAAAACTCTTCATGTGCTCCGTTATACAAAGCGTATGTCAAATCAAGTTAAATAATTTGCCACAGTAAAGAGCAATTTTAGAGTAAAATTAAACTATAACGATCACATTTTTACACTCCTCTACCTATGATAACCTACAAAAGCACACGCAATATGCAATGGCATAGACACAGAGAACCAAGAATGCATGGTATCAAAACATCGAATTGTATGGTATATCGTAAAAGTGTGAACCTTATCATGTTTCAAATTACATAAAGCCTTAATTCGGATAATGAATTCATATGTAGATATTTACATTATTTACTTTTATTTTTTTATAGATTAATAGGAACAAATATTTTAGCCTTTATTTTATTTATATAAAAATTACTTAAAAGATGTTATCTTTTTTAGTAGTTGTCTATCCTATTTAATCATATCCTTATCAAAAAAAGTAAATGACTTGAGACTACAAGGCATTTACGAACTTGGAAGCGCAAATGTTAAAAGGCATCTAAAAGTCTTAGAAAACTTTTTCTACAGTATGTTTGTATAGAGAGATGATATATTATCCCTAAAACTGAAATTTTTAGAAACTTTCAAGTCACTATCAAAAATCTTAAAGTCTAAACCTAATTATGAAATTTGGTTCACAATTGAGTCGAAATCAGAACACAGTAGAAGAGGAGCGGGAATAGTCCTAGATGAGTTTCAGTTTTTGTCTAGCTCATAATTTTCCAGGCCATTGGAATATATGTGGGAATGTGTGCGAGAGAATGTCTTCGTAAAAAGATGAAAGACAAAGAAGGATGATATTAACATACTGTCAGATAGTTAAGCAAAACAGCAATTAAGAGTCATGGACTACTTTGGTGACATTTTTAAGTAAGTATGTGTAAATAGTGGAACAACAAATCTTAAGCTGTTCTATAACAAATAATAAGCCTTAATAGAGAGGATTAGGATTTTATATAAAATAGATCTTCCGGAATTTAATCATATTTACTTATTATGTGTCCCAATTATCACATCATAAGAGATCATTTTCATCATTCTAATAATTAATAAAATATGATTTATTTGAAAATATAATTATGTAAATTAATTTTTAATGTTAATTTTTCCTCTCCATTTGCCAATATTTTTGAAATAATTTAGTATATTTTAAACCAATTTGCAAATGAGGAGGTATCATCCCGTACGAAGCTCTACCACATACAGAAAATATTTTGCCCAAAAAGCAGCAAGTATTCACTTATGAATTTTTTTCTTAAGAAGTGATGGTCCGTTCATAATCTCAGTTGAAGGATGCTCTCGTCTATGATGCGTACAACTCAGAAGGCCATAAAAGTAATTGTTATTGCAACACTAATAGTGACGGCTTTTAAAATAGTAATAAACAAGGAAAAACTTGCTAATGTTGGAGTGGTAAGAGCACCCGAATACTCGTAGCAACGACGCCAACGAACCAAGCACACCAACAATATCAATTTGACTGGAAGCATTAACAACGTTGCCAACAACACATGATAGTAGCATTTGCGTCATAAATAATTTAAAGAGAAGTGCCTTTTGAAAAAGTACGTTCGGTAGGAAAAAAGCTTAAAAGAAGAAAAATGCTTTTGAAGAGGAGTGACTCTAAATTTGTCCGTTTGTGCGTCCACGCCATCGTACGCAAATATCTGCCTGTTGAGCACATGTTAGATATTAAAAGTTGCGCCACAAAATACGCGTGCGTATGTTTCATAATTGACTCCCGTTCACCGCCATCGTCGTGGTCAATGGGCCGACGATGTGATCCAGGATGATGCATAGTTGCAGCATTAAAATTGTGTTTGAGCCAAGCTGCTCATCCATACCGACTTATACTCATCCTCACATTCACATTCATTGTTATCGACAATGTTGCTGCTGATTATTAGTTCGACCACTCAAAGGTGAAGAAGCCACGTATTTGCTGAAATGTACACAGCGGTATATATTGAATGTACACATTAAATTAAGTATCCCGATCATTAGCAGTTTGTAAGTACAAATAATAAAAATAAATTAACGAAATGTCAAAGAGGAGGAGAGAAGATCACTTTGAAGTTTACAGGTGAATAATAGCTTAGGACGAAAGAAGTTGGACAAGTATGCGTGAGATATTAGTACGATATTAGTGTGTTTCATACGGAAAAAGCACTAAAGATATTTGGAACGCTTATAAGACTCTGTGAATATGTATATCTGCGTCATTATAGGAACATATGCAATTTATTTAAGAAAACGTACTTATATTTTGACTAATTTACTGAACTTCTGGAAGTACATCCTGAATGTGTTAAAGTCCTGAATGATTTTTCTTTCAATATTATATGTTATATTTAATCCTGTCACAAAAAATGACCATCCTTAGTGCTATAAAGTCAAAAATCTTTACCTCAATAGGTATATAAACGAGAACTTGTACTCAGTCGTGGTTATGACCATTTCCCTCTTCCTCTTGTTCAATGGCAAAAGGAATAACATAAGAATCCTTTGTATTTAAACGATAATTATTAAAATCTTCGTATTTTGAAATAAAAAATTAATAAGCCACTGACAAATTAAGTGTCATCAAAAATGAAGATGGTGTTTGAATACTATTAAAAAGTATTATATATCTACACATGTGAGTATATTGTATTGCTACATAAAAATTAAACTTTTTATATACATACGGATATGTAAAATAAAAAACCACAACTTCGAAATGCCGCAAAGAACTAATAAGTCATAACATTTTGAACTCATTTGTTACAATTTCTTTACGACATACATATATCTACACAACAACAGATCAGGTGAAGTAAAATGCCTTTGATTCTATCTAGAAAATAAACCAACTAAAACAATAAAATTTAAAAAGGCCCAGACTAACATTCGCGTACGCTGGCCAAATTGCTACCGCACCGTACAAAAGCTGTTCATCACGAATTCTGTTCGCATAAAAAACCAAATGAAAACCCCAACAAAGCAATAAATCATACTTATAGTGCAGCAGCACCCACCACCGTCATCATTACTACCAAAATGACCAACATTATTAACAACAACTCAACGTGGCCATCATTATCATGTGTGTATGTGAGTGTATGTTCAGCCGCCGATCATATACACCAACACATACATAAGTCCGTACTGCTGCATCTATGGCTACAGCAGTTCTACTGCACAGCACTCACACCATTACCAAAAAAAAGAAAGAAAGAAAGAAAAATAGATGGAAAAACAGTAAATATCAGCTTACATACTTGCAAGGCGGTGCAATTGTAAGATCCCAGCCTGTGCATATACATCCCAACCTGTGTGGACTAAACATTGCGCTATTAAGCTCAACCTGGCTGTTTGTGGTACCAGGGGTGGCTATTGGTCGTCGGTATTTGTAATTGTGCGGCTTTAGTCAAAGTTTTCTGTAAGAAACTTAACTGACTTTGGCACTGAAAGTGAAGCTGCGCACAGGTTGAGTGTAGAGGGGATATGCCGTTGTATATCAGCCTTCCACCATTTAAAATAGTTGAAAAATGATCGATGTTCACAGTGTAGCTGCAGAATCGTTGTAATGCGCACATTTAAAGCGAAGTATGAATGCTTTCCTACACCTGAAGTTCTTCCTCTTTCAGTTTTAGTGTCTTAGCTGAGCCATATTGACAGTTGACTTGGCTTGCGATGTGCGGCGATAACTATTTTGGCTTAATTGTTGCACAGATGAAAGCAAGCGACATCTGTTCCTTCTACTTCATTAGTTGGTGTAGTTAAACTAGAAACTTCCTCGCTAGACAAGAGTTATTCGAACTCTTTTTTTTAGTTACTGCTATTAAACATTCCTTAAACATTTTTTGAATATTCTTTAACACTCCCAACTGAATGATTGCTAATATTGAACTGAACAAAAATAAAATAATATGTATATAATAATAATTAGTATAAGTACAACAATATGTATATGAATTACTATAATAAGTATAGTTAGTTAGTTACTTGAAGTGGAGGGAGAAGCGAATGATCATCAGTTAGTTAAAACAGCTGTTTTTAGTCAATTCCTCGTAATATTGGATCGTACTAGAACCAGCTAAAAGCATTTATAAAGGCGAGAGTCTGGCCAATGCTAATATTGGAGATGTCGCTGAGTGTGTTGAGGGGGTCCCCAAAATAAGTGTATGAATAAGTAAAAATATTTACTAGCATGACCTGATACTGAAATCTGTCTATATATAGCACAACGAAAAGGTAATTATACTAAATTTTTAGTTTTTAACTTTAAAATTATTTCTCAATAATATTCTTATTGATATAAAAAATATGAAATCTTGCTTTTAAACCATTAGGTTGTACAAAGGATTATCCAGTGGAGTGTCATACATTGGACTGTACTTTTCATTGGGTCATTGGGAATATTTTGGTAACACAAACATTTTTTAGTCAGGTAGTATAATATAATAACTATTCGTAGTATTGCCAATTTTACAAGGCTTAAGTGAACTATTCTCGAGCTCCTGTTATAATATCCCATCTATTATCTAACACACCGTTCACATAATTTTTATTAAATACCGGAGTATTAGTTTTAGAATCTGAACGGTTTCAACGCAAATCAACTAAATAAAAATCACAGTAAATATCAGTTATATATATATAATATTAATATTAATTTATTCTCAAAAGCACGTCAACAATAATTTGGAATTTGTTAAAGTGTTGTAGTGAATGCACTCAAGAAATTTTGTTGTAATAAATTTAAAATATTAAATATGTTAACAAAAATATGATTTGCAGCAGATTTTTATACGCAACAATTAACAAACGCCCTATTTGAAAGGCGGTTTATCAAGCATTGGACGTTTGGCTGCTGGCTCGTAATCTTCACTATCGGGATCCTGCCCTTGATATCCTGAACCTGATGGTGACGAGAAAAAAGAATTAGTTGACGTATTTGGATAAGAAATGATATCTGCTTCTGAAGTGTCCATGATGTTTTGTCTGAACCCACAATTGTTGCTTGATGAAGGCTGGTCGAATGGATCCAGATGCAATTTCTTACGTGGTGGCTCGCATGAAATATCATCGTCAGACTCTTCAAGTTCATCAGGAAATATTACATTCAAAAAACCTTCTTTCATTACTACCGGGGGACACATTCCATATTCCCCAAAATCATTTTGCTGGTTAGTTTTTGCCATATCAGTACTGAAGTTTGGTAATTTTTGGGCATACATTTTATGGATATTTTGGATTACAAGACTCAGGCTGTAATTACTGTGAGCCAAATCTTCACAAAATTTGGTTTTGTAGTATCTGTTGGCATTAACCTGAAGCAACTTTTCTTCAACTAGTAGCTTTAAAGCAGTCTCAAAATCCGGTGAAATAACACAATAAGGGATCTAGAAATATTAAATATATATACTTTAATTATAATCAATTTTGATAGAACTTTATAAATAGTTTTGTTTTTTTTTTTGCATTTGACACACCATCGTATCTTCTGTATACTATATATGTATGCATATACTTACGTTGATTTTGTTACATACAACTTCCAATAGTTCATTTTTAGTGTATCCTCCAGGAGGCAATAATTTACTAATCAACACCTTATACAAGTATTCTTCAGCCATTTTGGAAGCGAGGAAAATGCTGTTCCTTTAACGAAAGAAAGTAAATCTAAAAATTATTGGATGTATATGTATGATATAACTAAATTTAACCTATTTGGCAGTAAATATAGAAAATCAAGAGCCTTAAAATGGACCACAACCAGAACCGATAGCATTGGTAGTAACAACGATCGTATTGAATTAGTAGATTTCTTTTATTCTTGTTCTCTTTTGCGTATAGCAACATTTTTTTACTAAATAATATCTATTTCCACATATATTTACTAAGTGTAAATAGAGATAGATTGGACATTCAAGAAATTCATCTCAAGAAATTAGTCGACAGATATTTGAATGAAATTTAAAAGGAAAGAGAAAAATATAAAAACTAAAATTTTTATGACGTTCCAAAAACGGTCGGGTCTACCGTTCAACACCTCCCAAAGGGACTTTACAAGCAGGTCCTGTGGGTTACAACAACAACAACACGATTCAGATACTGTAACCTTTTCAAGAGTCAAAGGAACTAACTACCGATTAAACACGCAGATAGGTCTGACTGTCACCTTTAAATAATGACAACGACTTATTACTCATTGGATTATATTTACAAAATATGATTATTTAGACAATGATCATTATAATTTAAATGCGTTCCATTTCTGATTCCACTTTTACTAGACCATTAATTCTTTTAAGCGTGCGGATAGAATCCTAACGACACCTACAAAGAGCATTATGCAATTAATTATAATTGATTTTAAGTATTTAATAAAATTTAAAAATGATTTAAAATTTTATTACTTTAAAAAAAAAAGTTTAATTTCATTAGAGATATTTCACAATTCTGCCTGTTATGTGTCAAGTGCAAAATATTTAAATGGTCTTTGATTGTTCACAGGAGTTGTGTAGTAATAAAAATTACAAATAAATTTTTATAAGTATTTTCATTGGTGGATTGGTCGATTTACTACCGAATATAAAATTTTGATTTATATGCCATTAGCTACAGTTCTTTCCTCCCCATGCTAAGAAATCCATATTGAAGCTAAACGAGAAAATCATTCAATATAATAGATAGATAATCAAAAGTTTTAATACGAGTATTCATATGTAAAAATTTTACATCTCGTAAAATTTAACAACCCAACCCAAACAGGAAAATGTCAAAATACGAAAGTTGCAACTATCAATCTTCTGTCACCAAAATGCATGCATTTAGGAGTGAAATAAAAAAAAATAAAATAAATTAAGAAAAAAAAGAACAAATTATGAAGAAAAGATACAAATTTAAATTCGAGCATAACTGGCAATAATAAATTACACGAACAAATACCTAAAAAAAGAAATTATAAAAGAAAAATCCCTCACTACAGTAAAAAGGTGGATACGAGTGAGTACCCAGGGTATCTGCTTCAGCATCAACGTATTTTGCATAACCAATAAAATCTATTTATCTTTATTCCAGAATTGCTGAAGTGAGGCAAACAAATCACTTTGCAAGTCAAAAATTAAATGACAAATACAAAATCCATTTTCATTTGAACAGACGAGAAAATAACCTCAATGCAGTGGCGTACCTACGAACTGTATTTTAAGGAGAAAAGTATGCATTTATACCTCTTCGAACTATTTTAACGTTTTTATATAAGAATTATGTATATATATATAATGAGCTATATATTTATTTTTTGATTAAAATTAATTATGTTTCCGAATAAAATATTATATGTAATCAGATTAATTTTGACCTTTATTATAGACCAGGGCTGTCCAAAGCACCACATGCACCCCACGCCTAGTGTTAGTGCGGCCCACAACATGTTCCTAATCTACAAATACTCAAATTCTTTTGGTGTACTTTGGTAAGATCACATTATTTTATATTTATGGTATAACAAATAAATGAATTGAAATTAATAGAACTAAATTTCATATTATAACCGTATTTTTATTATTCTCCAAAACAGCCCGCGATCACATCTGATCTGGACAGCCCTGATATAGAACAATGATAAATTTAAGCCTATGTTGCTCTATTGTACACTAAATTTACATTGTGAGATTAAGGGAATGAGATTAAGTTAACATGCATTTTTTTATTTACACCGTTTACATTATACATTGGAGATTAATTGGAGATTCAACTAGTATAGTACTTTAATCTCGATAATTCCTATTAATCTCACAATGTAAACGCAGTATTAGAAGAATCTTTTAAGCTCATCTGGAAAAATGCAAGCAATTGACAAATCTAACAAAGTGACTTTGTTCCATAATCCAGCCATTATTCGATTTAATAACAGTCGAATAATTAGAAACTCGAAGGGCACGAGTAGATGAGGTGTAGAGAAGTCACGAGTAGTCACATATTTTAAAGATTCCTGTAAAGAACAGTATCTTCAGTTACAATACCAGTGAATAATACCAGTTGATGTCGTTTCTGACGTCTACCTCTAAAATGGATAATTAGGTTTAGCACAAAATTAAATCCAAAACTGTTTAGAATACAAAATTTGTCAATTTTGTTATCAACTCAAATGAGCTATTTGCATTATGTTAAACTTTAAGAGCTGGTCCGGGCTTTCTTGCACAAATGATATTCTGTGTTTTTAGGTACTTATGTAGTCTGATAAATAAACACCCCGTAAAATGTTTTGAGTTTTATAGAGAGTTAATGCATACTCCTTCGCAAGCTTATCAAACTTGTTTTATTACCATCGTATCCTTGATGGTTACACATATAAGCAACCATAGTTTTATTCATAGTAATTTTCTGGCGCATCTTCGGTGACTAATCTTTACTATGTTCGGGTATTGTCATAAGGCAATACAACGTGGACATATGTCCATAACCATGAAAATGAATATAAAGGCATGACAGTGACGAAGCTCCAGTTAATAGATAACTAAAGGTTTGGGCACATGACTAAAATAGTCTAGCTTTGAAATATTTAGCAACTTCCGTCTAATTTTAATATAATAGTTTAGAATTAGAGAGATATCACAAATTACTTGCTATTCGATGATATAATATTGGTGTTTGCATACCGCCTTTTTAGATATTAGGTTAGGTTATACCGACGATTCCAAGAAACCCACTTAGGCTTATAGGCCCATTGTGTTACCGTATAATTAAAAGCCCAGGGGTTAAAACCACTTAAAATCTTTGGCAAAGACTTTATATACCACAGAATTCAGTGGTATTATGTTCTTGTGATATGGAGTGTATATACTCGCAGCTCATCTGAAACCATTCATAGGTGAGTTAGATTAAAAGTGCTAATATGTGTACCCAATAAATTTCTTAAAAATATATACATTCTTTTTTAATTTTCCACTTAAGTTTTTTATATTTTTTCTATATTATGTTAGCAATTAGAATGCATTAAGATCACCTATTACTATCATTTTGAAACTTTTGTGGTTACAAAGTTTCCTTCCAATTTCACATTTTCTGCTCCTTTTTAGAGACCTCACTTAATAAGGTTATACTTTTAAAGATAAAGAAGTACACAAAGGCTTGCACGCATAATTCTGCGAAAAGCTTTGAGTTTGCTCTCCGATTATAAAATTGTAGCCCATTTGCGTCGAGAGACATTTCAAAATTCTCTGAAACATGTGTGATTATTTCGTAAGTAATTATTTTTTAACAAATTTCCATTTCATTTATTTATTTTGTTGTTAATGTAATTTATTTGAAAAGCGTTGCAGATATCTTGGAACTGAAGTGATCCTATCAGACTAGAAGAAAGAGTTTAAGATGCAAATGAGTGTAAGATATTCCTAAATAGTCATTGGCTCGTCTTGTAATTTGATTGAATTGTCTGACGAATGGATCCATCGATTTGTCACGTGTCATTCACAGCTGCTGTATAATTTGTTGACTTGGTAACCGCTTTGTGCGAGGATGTAAATTTACGATGCGCGTAGGACATATTCAAGGAATTTTTACGCTTTCTGCTCATAAATTAAGTCTTTTTATTACACGTCCAATGCGTTGTTCGTGCAAAACATGTGATTCACTATATTAACAAAATAATTTGTTTTACTCAATCTCTTTTATATTTTTTTAGTTGCATTTTTTTTATTTTTTTAGTTTGATTATTTTTTGTGCAAAACTACTTCATCACAAAATCGTCATCAATACTCAACTATAACAGCTATAGAGCCTCATCAAGAATCAGTATCATTTCGCTGTTGCGCGGCATTCCATCGATTGATTGTCTTGCATATGATTAACACTTTTATTCACACATTTACAAGGCAAATTTTAAACTGAAGAGTTTATTTCAGCTGTTATCACCTTGTGGGGTTTCTCATACTAAATATAATTGTTTCATTGAGATTTATCAGTTATTGATTCGAACCGGTTCAATGCCATATTCATAGTGCATCGTCTGGTGGTCTGCTGGTTTCTTTTCGGAGTTCATTGTTCTACGGTGCATTCAACTGAACTAATCAAAATTTCGTCTGGCAATTTTGGCACGTTCGCATATGAAATTGTCACAGATTGCCTCATTTTCATATTTTTTTCTTCCCAAATTTCATTCACCAAATAAAAACGTTTTTACATAAATGAAATAACAGATGAAGCCAGCCGATCCGTTTAAAAAGAAAATATTATTATTTCACAAAAGAAATCAAATAAATTAACCAAATTTCAAGTAATTCCGACGTTTATTTTAGTATTGATCAGATTATTGTTATGATTTATCAACTTCCTATATCTTAGGGAATATCATTTCAAATATAAGTAACGGAAGGATAAGTTACAATGTCTTATTGGTTTATACATCCATAAAATATGTAAACTGTATGTAATATATGTATAATATGTAATTAAACTGTTAAAAACAAAATCTATCTTCAAGCAATATCAGAACTACAAAAATAATATATGCAGATGATTTTAGGACTCTAAATATTAGAAGTCATATTCCAATTATATGACACGGATCAAGTACGAATATAAAATATATTAAATTATACTATTATACACATATATTATTTTGTGGAGAAGTTTTGAATAGTAGTAGTACTTTTGAAATCCTAAAATTGTAATTAAGTTTCAACTTTTAACTAAATAAAATAATCATATATAAATACTATTTTTACTTCAATACTAGCTCTACCATCTTCGCTCCTATAACTGGTATCCGGTGTCATCGTAATACTAATAATATCTTTAATAGTATCGACAGTAAAACCGGTTTCTAATTTTGAGTTCCTTCAACTAGTATCTGCAGTTATTTTGTTTATGAGCTAATATCAAAATAATACTAATAAAATCTTTATTAGTATCGACAGTAGAACCGATGTCTAATTGAGATTACTTTCAAGAAGTATATCCAACAAACCCAAATATGATCCGCTTTAACGTAACACTAACACCATTTTACTTGTCATAAGAAGTATAGCAGGTGGCTGGTTTTAACCTTCTACATGCAGTAGCTCCATCGATCCCAATCGCGTGCCGTTATTATTGATATCGATTATACAACCAATTTTCTATTGCGGGCTACTTTCAAAAGTCTCTCCATCTTTATCTACCATTTAAATTATTTTCAATTCTAACTATAATTACGAACTGATATCATTCATATATAACTGCAGTGGTCTAACTTATACTTCTAGAACAAGGATAATCTACATAATTCCTATTTACCATAATATCTGCTCCATAGAATTTTCTAAGCAAATTCTTTTTCGCTAATGCATAAGCCTTTGTGAATAAAAAAAAACTTAATTATTCGAACTATACTATAAAAATCACTGTCTTGCATTGGTGAAGCATTGAATTGAAAGTTCCGGTAAGCATCTTAATTTTAAAGAGATTGTTTTAGACTTTAGAGAAATAAAACTAACACAATACTATATAACGAACCATATTCGCAAACCAAAGTAATATTATCATTAAAATGTGAGACCAAATACTATCATTAACACTCCTCTTAAAAAGAAGAGTTTAGAAAGCTTCCCATGAACATATTTTCGAAAAAAAAACATATAGTATTTGTGGGTTACATACGTATATATGTTTGCAGAACGTGTTCAAAAAATAGAAATTTAGTTACTAAAAGTGTCAACTCATATTTCTTTTAGATTTTCGAAAATATAATAATTAATAAAGCAAGGAATATAATCAATCATGCTTATTTCTGAGCAGTTATAATATAATAATTAATATATGTAAAGATATGATTTTGTATAGATATATCAGTATACAAAGTATCTTTGTTTACTTACCTATACACGAGTAACTAAATAAGTAATAGGAAATAATTCAACAGACGTCTTCAAAGATGCAAGTTTTTGACATATAATTAACTCTGTGGAAAAAATTTTATAGCATTTTTTACTTCATATATTTATAAAAATTAAAAATGCAAAATTAATAAAAATACGCATTACTTAATGAATTAAGTAAATACATATTCTTTTTTACCTTTCAGAATCCTTGTTTTATTGTTATTTCAAGCGACTAACAACTTCGGGAATAGATACGTCAAATGTCAAGATACTGCAAAATCGATATAAAATATTTAAAAAATATGTTTTAACAGTTTCTGCTATATTATAACATATTTTATAATAAATCATAATATATGTGATAGAATACCACGCAATATAAAAATTATAAACACAAAATATATTTTTTTATAAAAACAATTCAAATTATTTTTAAAATTTATGAGACATATTTCAAAGCTCACTAACGTAAAAGATAAAAATTTTATGATATGTTGTTTGAAATTATTGTCTTTATTAGGAAATATGAGTTGAAAAACTGATAATCACATCGGTTATCCATAATAATATAGAGTAATAGTGTAAACCCTGCTCTGTTTCATGTTAAATGATGTTTACGGAGTTTATGGACTACGGAGTATTAAAGTTATACTCCATATGGAAACAACTATATACTATCTATACACTTGTTTCTCAAGAATTATAATTTAATGACTGATATATGTAAAGCTCACTTAAAGCAACTTTTTCTAATCTAGTGGTTTCTCTAACCACTATTTTCCTATCATTTATTTGCTTACATAAAAACAGAAATAATATTCCATTTCATATAAAATATTATTATATTATTGCCCTTATAAAATCAAATATATTCTTTTTTTTACCTTTCGATCGAGAATTTCCAAGCAAATCCTGAATTTATTGTAAGTGGAGGCGACTAACAATTTCCAGGACAAATGCGTCAAATGCTTGAATACTATAAAGTCAAAACAAAATATTTTTGAAAAATATATGTTTTTGAAGTATCTGCTATATTATATATATTATATTGCAGAATATATATATTGCAGAATATATGTTATAATATCACATAGCACAGAAATCGTAAACACAAATATATATTTTCTTCACAATAATAATTTAAATTATTTTTAAGTTTATAAGATATTAATCAAAGTTTACTAACGTAAAAATTAAAATTTTATAGAAAAGTATTTGATTATATATATACGGAATACTTTAAATTCGGGCTGTACAAAACACGGTCCACGAACCAGGTGCGGTCCCCGGCTAATATATGTGCGAACCGCAACATGTTTCTAATCTACGACAATTATGCAATTTTTACTTTGATATATAAAATTGCAAATGAAAAATTGAATATTGCTCGTATCACCGTATTTTTGTTGTTCTCCATGAACGTATTTTCTTGTTTTTGCGACCCTTCAATCTACACAATGACTTGTATTAGCCCACTATCGTATCTGGTTTGAACAGCACTGATTTAAATCATTGCTACTGACTACTAGTTATCGTAAGTATATCGTTTAATAGATAATAATTAATGAAACACAAGCAAATTATTTAGGACGTATCATATATGTGGCTCGACATCTACATTCAATATAATGCCTTAGGTGATCATACTAGTGATGAGGTTCTATATAAAAATATACCTTCATTCAAGTACCGGACAGTTATAAAACAGATGAGTACCACTTCTCTCTTGTTTCTCTAACCTATAGACATGACAGTAGACATTGAAAGGTGCTTTTAATCGCTTGCCGATATTGTCTCGTCAATATAATGATCATCTACGATTAGGATTGGCGAGCAAACGTTATCAGTACACTAATTTTCAAGATTTATTTATTTCAACTTGTTTTAAATAAAGATTGTTTTAATAAACTTTAATAAACTTTAATTAAACATTTTTAAAAAAATTATTTATTTTATACTACACAAAAGGGTACCAATAAAGAAAAGTGCGAAATACTCCTCTCACTTTAAAATATGAGTATATGTATGGATACAATCAGATTTGTGGCTATGTTTGCAATCATTTTAACAACAAAACATATATACGTATTTATACTTCTATTAGTTAGTTAGTTATTTTCCTTGATGATGTGATATAAATATTGAAGCATATATAAGACACAAAAATCCATTCAGGCACTTAATCCCAAAATAAAAATCTTAATAGCTGAGCTCAAATCAAGTCACCTACAAATGACAAGATCGTTAATTTGTTTTTGTTTTTATGGACTTCGTCATCAAGTCCGTAGTGGTTGGTTACTCATAAATATTTTAATGTTTTTAGCAATTGGTTAGTGACATATTTGCATATAGAGTATACATATTTGTATATATATATATATATAACATTTCAAAGGCGACATATACCAGTACTCATGATGCTGTTGGTACTCCAGCGTCATGCCTCTTTTTATCCACTTCTCATGTAGGTTGGCATTTTAACTTCACTACCACAAAGATTCTGTGGCGTAGCACCTTATTGCTGCTGGTGCTGAATGCAATCTTCTCTTAATAGGAGCCACGTCGGACGTCTGAACTTATTTTTATACTCATGTCTGCGCTATATGTGCTGTTTCCTTCTATTGAACTTATGCTGTCCTTTATATTTTGTTTTTATATGAGCTTTTATTTATATATGTACAGACGTATATATATATTATTATTTTGTTTTCATTTTTTGAAGAAAAGATTTATGCATTACTGGTGTCATTTAAAGTTAATGGGTTATTCGCCAATGTTCTTCCTAGCCATTTATATTATCGATTTTGTTATTGTTCATTTTTATTGCATGTAGGTATACTATAATGGCTAGTGGATATAACCTTTGGATAAGGTATTTGCAATAAAAACTTCTCATAGAAATGGCTAAGTTAAATTTATTATTGATCACTGTGACAAGTATCGGGTACAGGTGAATCTCATCATATCGATGTGCATACGTAACCAAACGACTCAACGACTCAACGACTCGACTGGTTCGATTCGTATATGCATAAAATCTTATTGTGGGTAGAAAATACAAAATATGAAAATTTATGCTTAATTCAAAAATTGTTTTATTACTTTGGTGCATATATCCATCCTTTATTACTTGCTTATGCAAAAAGTATATCATGTTCCGTGAAAATCATATAGTTTGTGAATTGCTTTTGTGGAATACATGTGCGTGCACCTTTTACTAAAACTATTATTTTTTTATAGAATAAAGAATAAATTTATTTGTATAGTTGTATATTTGAACCATTATATAAATATTTATAAAACAAACGAATATTTCCAAAGACCACTCTCGTTGAATATTTACACATGAATATTTAATATTTAAAACAATTGTTAAGACAGTCAAAAAAAATTTAATTAATTAAAAATATTATTATTTTTCCCAGTATTCTATAGCTGGTTTATGATTTCACTCGTTTATGGAGAAAACTCCAGATTAAAACATTTAAGTTAAGTATGGTTTTGAGTCAGTTGGCTAATGAACATTGCCTCTGAGCTTCAAATTTGGCAGGGTATAAGTTCGATTCTTAGTACTTGCAGTCTCAAAAAATATTTATGAATAATTACATATAAGAAACAATTCCAAAAGATCACTGATGATGGCTATTTGGCAATCCTTGAACAATATAATGAAATTTTGTTGTTGCAATTCAGTATAATTCGAAAAACAGCTCTACTAAAAACAATAGTTCATGTTCAAAAACAAGTTTGTTTCGTCATAACTGACGTAAAATTGAAAAATTTAATTTCATTAATGTATTTCAATAATATTAAAAGAACTCTTTCTTTCATGAAATAGTTTTCATTCGTCATAATTGAATTTAAAATTTATTTATTTATTTTTTTTTATTTAAATTTTCTACAATTTTATTATAAATATAGACGAGGGTATTTATTATAAGATGAGAGTATTAGGGCATTTAATAATATAAATTAATTTTAAATTTAGCGAATTTTTTTAACCTGACCGAACGACTGCTTCAGATATTACTAAATATCCAAAATCAATAGTATTTAGAAAGATTTATGAGTTTTAGTTGACTCATTCGAATAACTAACAGTGCCCGAAACTTTTAATCTAAATATTATACATATGGTAAGTATATAGAATTCCCTCCCGAAACAACGTATCCGATTGATAATAAATTCTATTTTTTTTAATTAATATTGTATAAATCGTTCATTTACGGTTCGAAACTATTGGAATGGTTGTGCTGAAAACGGTTTCACTTTTCAACTACAAATCATTGAACTTTTATTTTATAATCCTTTATAAAATAATCACTGATTGCATACGCATTGTTTGGAAAATTTATACAAATATTTAGAATGCGTAAGGAACATGTAACACCTCATGGATGCCAATGACCAATGTGAATAAACTTTTTCCAACCTATTGAGTGCAACTGATTTGCAATTCAATTTTCTTCATTAATGCTAGCAACAACAATATAGTCCGGCACACCGGTGAAACCTATTAAAATAATAACAACAACAACACCTATAACAAAAAAGACTAGAAAGATGTAAAAAATAATAAATGAAAAGAAAACAAAAGCTATATATAACACGTTGCAGTAGTTAACGGTTTGAAGCGAAGAAAATAATATATAACACCGCCCGCAATAGAGAAAATGGAAAGTGAAAATTTGAATCTTCAATCCCGAAAAAAAACAAAACAAAAATAAAAATAAAATTAGTTTAAATGGAAGCATTCACCTTTTCCGATTTGCCAGTAATAGATGAATTGAACAGAACTGTTGAAATGCTCAAAACTGTTATTATTGCTAAAATCGGGGTGTAAGTAAAGCTTATAGACTAAAACCAATGAATACTTGTCTCATTGATTCAGTTCTTAAAAAAAAAAGTTTCTTTATGTTTACATTACATGCATATATATGATAATGATTATATATATATGTATATGACTCAAACGGATATCGGGAAACACAAATTACTATCTCATTTAGTTGCTGGCCGGGCATGGATAGTTTTGTGAGTATTTGTACCGCATTGGAAAGGCAGATCTACCCGACTGCATTTATGGCGACGCAGACTGTGACGACGTAAAGCACACTCTAATAGGCGGCTCACATTTAGAGAAGAAACAATACCACAGATTGGAGCAATAAATCCCGAAAATATAGTAGAAAAGATAAGAGCGAACACAGAGAGCTGGCAAACGATAGAGTCATATGTGATTCATATAATCTTAGATTATTATTTGTTTGTTTCTGGTACAATGTTTGCTTGCATTAAAAGCTTCGTAATATTTTTCTCATGTTTATCTATATATCCAAATATTTAACCAAATGATAGCAATTTGCTAAGATTATTCTTTTTTTAATAATCGTCACCCTGAAAGTCTACATAATTAAAAAATTATAAAATTATGTACATTGCTTTTAAAGTCAAGAAATTTATTTCATTAAATATATAAGTCACCACACCTCTTGTATTTAATGTCCCTTTTTTTTTTCTTAATCGGGATTATTTTCCGGGTTATTACCGTACCGTACAGCAACTGTTTGTGTTGTCTAGATTATATCGTTACCGGAGAACGTATGCGATTATACCGTATCTTACCTTACTGCATCTATTTAGACGTACCTTAACATCTTCTTAGACTCTTCTTAGTCTAAAACTGCCGTGAGAATTCGTCATATATCGTTTTGCATAACAGCCTAAGTTTGACAAAATATTTATCGGACAATAAAAGAAATATAAACACAAATTAATTGTCTATATGATATGATTTTTATTTAATGAGCACAATAACAAGCGAACAGACAGACAAACATGATTTAAATAATCACTTCGATATGCTCACAATAACGTATATGGTTTATATAGGCTTATATAACATATATGGTTACATAGTTTATATTTTCTCTATTCATAATAGTATTAAAAGATATAGTAAAAAACTAACCAAGCAAACGTCACATATTTTCTATCAACTGTCAAACTTTATCGACATTTTAAAAATCTACCGATAAACTAGCAAGAATCGAAGTACGCTTTCAGAACTCAAAAAAAAAAACTGAAATATTTCAATATTAATTAGCAAATATTGAACATAAAAGGTAATGAAGCATATACATATAATAAAATAAATTTCCTAACTTTTATATCAATACTCTCATCGTACAGTACTCAGATTTTTATATCCTATCTTTTAAGTGCCGTCAACGAAGTGTTTGAAAAATAGACGTTTTAAGAATGACAACTTCTAATGAAGAGCCTGATTTCAGCAAATTATCATCATTCATCTGTGGACATTTAGATGAACATGAGGGAAACATTACGAAGCTTTCTATGCAAGCAAACGTAGTCTCAGTAACAGAGTTTTACAAAGGTTATGACTGTGAAATGAAGAAACTGGAGTCACAGTTTATTTCCGAGAAAAGAAAACTAAACTTTCAAGCATTTGCGGAGATATATAAAAGTTTTGATGAGTACCCTGCAAATTTGCAAAAACCTGAAACACAATTTCTTAAAACTGCAAATGAGCAGAACACCACCTCTGAAAATATAAATGAGGACGCACCTATAAAAGATGACGACATTATGATGTCAGTAGAATATACTTCCACTACCAAAGCCCTTAATGATTTTAGAAAATTTCGCCAAAAACTTCAACTCTTAGATGAACTAGAAATGCAAGAAATCAACTCAGAATACGCTTCCAAAATGTGCGAACTTCAATCGTTTGTCGCAGAAATGGAAGACGTTCTGCCAATAGATTTATCAACAACACTTGCTTTCAGTTCTGATGAAGAGGACAAACTATGTCGTTTAGCTCAACACACAGAGGAACTTGATTTCATACAAGCCCACCAACAATTCCTGAATGAACACACTCAAAACAATGATGCGGATTTGAATAGTATCGTGGATTTGTTAACATATACATTAATGTCTATTGAAAATGACCCTTAAATGATTAAATTATTAAAATAAAAACACTTTATATTCTTTTGGATTTAAACACGAAAAAATTTTTTTGGTTATAGAAAAGCAAAAGTCTGTCATATACTTGAAGAACTCTGATCGTAACTGTAAATATCAAAACAAATATCTGCCGGTGTTTCCTTCATTCACCTTCATATCGATTGCAACTAAAATGGCTATTTTCTCAATATGTTACCACAAAAGAAAAAAATTTGCTTTTACTGAATAAATATTTCTTAACATGATTACCATTTTCGTCAATTAATGTAACATTAGAACACTATTATATCTATGGTATCTAATGTTCTAATGTTCTATCACTAGATAGAACACTTGAAAACAGTTACTCGTTTCCTAGCATAATCAGTATACATTCAAAAATTCATTTAATGATTTCCAATTTTCAATATATTGTCTTATATAGTATATTGTTTTCATAAATTAATATAATTATGTTGAATTCGTTATTTTCAAAAAGAATATAGGCGTGGTACATACACATCTTTTGAACATGTATATTGTCCTATCTAGAACTTGATTTCCGCAGAGAAGTGTTCTAAGGTCTCTTCTTTTTCTACTTTATACAGCTCATATATATGTGGAACAAAAAATACATTCCTTTGAATATTTACAGATAGCATAGTAGTAATGGCTTCTGAAGATACATTTGAAGGGGCTACAAACGACACTCAACAATATTAACAGTTGTGAAACAAGTTCAAATCCAGTCATGCTACACAGCAATTAGAACCAGGACAAAACAATAAAATTCAAATTTTCTTTAATTATTAACGTGCAACGCTATATAGTAAATCAAGAAATAAATAAAGATTTAATTAAATATAGTTTAAATAGACCGAACATGTATAAGTTATTTAATACGAAAGGAAATGACTGAACCACACCGACGTGGATACTATCCAACTTCTAGATATTGCACATAATTTGTGAGAGGCTAAGCTAATAATATAACATTAGTTTATATATTTAATTCCAAGCTTCATGTATTCAATAATACCGCAGAAGTTTTTCTTAATATATTTAAATACACTTCAGCGATAGTTTCACATTACCATAGTAAAGAAGGTACTAATAATATCCAATAAAGAATGTTTGAAAAAAAATTATTACCAGTAAATCGAGAAAAACCACTTTTTAATGAACATTAAACCACCACTGAAACATTTTTAACTATATATTAATATATAGTCTAATCACTCATGTTAGGTACTCGCTCTTTAGAGGTAATTTTTTATATATTTAGTGTGTTGTACCGAAATTAAGAATTCATTTATAATCTATGTAAATATATTTCAAAGACCCTGCTCCTTTAGAGATAGAGATATGGAAAAATACTCGTGTATTGTTTTCTACATTTTTATTGTCAAACACTTCACACCTGACACCTTGACACCTATAGTCAATATAAAGTATTTTAATTATTACACGACAGCAGATATAAATAGTATTCAAGAATTATTAGAATAAGTTATAACCAAACTATAAGTTGCCTTATAAGATGTCAAGTAGAGCGTATATAAGTAGACTATATATAAAAAATAAACAACTTCCACACACACACACACAAGGCATCAGAAATTTCTAGAACAATTTGCACACAGATGCATACTAACGTTATTTTACAGCATATACTTTAAACACTATGACTTATATATTAATATTCTATTATTATAATTTTCAGTATTATTTTTATATCGTGTTAAGAATGTCTATAATGAATCACTTACTTCAGGTCCTTACTTGAGCAATTTCTTTCTATTAAGACACGTTACGAATGTTAAAGCTTTTTCCAAATTTTACTATAACATTTTTTGTATGCATTTAAGTTTCGAAATTCGTCGACAGATCAGTGATGGTTCGGTTGTCTTATTCCAGGCAGATATCACTCACTTGTACTCATTTGCACGACGTTAACATATTTCACATCTTTTGAAAAATATTATACCAAGAAAAAGTCCCGTAATTTTACAAAATATGAAAACAAAACTCAAACAATATATGAAGCTATGTTTATAGCTAATTCAGTATGGTATGTAATGTATTCGAAAAAGATGAAAGACAAAAAAGGTTCCTTTTCACAAAACGTATATCAGTCATACCCGTAAAGGCACTGTTTATAAATCCTATATTGTAGGAGTAATATTTATTAATAGTTATTGTTCGGAAACTCGGTACTCGTGAAAGTAATATAATGACAAACGTCAATTATTTTTCGGTAATGGTTTATTCATTTTTTATTTTTATTTATTTTTTAATGTTCATTTAATTATTATTGTATGTTTAAACAAAAAATAGCAGAAAAAAGTGAAAAAAATATATGTAAAATTAATGTAAAATATTTTGTGTATAATAATTATTTTGTGAATAAGTATTATAAAAACAAAGAAATTAAAATAATTTTTAAAAGTATCTTCATATTGTTTTCGTTCACACTGTCTCATTTAGGCGGTTTTGCTCATTATAGCCAATAATGAGGATGATTTACCAATAATCAATAGATCAGCTCATTTAAGGCCAAAATGTTAAATGCAACCCTTAAAATAAGTTTTCCATAAGGAAAATCACAAAAATTTGAAATATGTTTCATAAGTTTTACATGCAAAATGTAAACGGACAACAGCTGAGCTGTAAACAAACGCACGAAGTAAGTTTTTAATAAAATCTTTGTTTTTATTAATTAAATATATTAAATAAATTAATATACAAAATGTATATATATGATTAAATATATCGTTTGTATATTAAATTATTTTTATATGATATATTATTAAGTGAAATTTATAAAAGTTCTATCACCTAATGAGCTCATCACTTATTATTACCGAAATTACCGAGGCAACAGGTCTGATAATGTTTTCGATATACGGTAAAATATCAGCTGATTGTATTAGTGTTGTACGAATTTTGAATATAATTTAGAATTTTAAGTGTTTAAAAGTTAAAATAAATATTGATAGAAATATAAGAGAACAAATTGTACATTATTTTACATATATTTTTTTCACTTTTTTCTGCTATTTTTTGTTTAAACATACAATAATAATTAAATGAACATTAAAATATAAATAAAAATAAAAAATAAATAAACCATTATCGAAAAATAATTGACGTTTGTCATTGTATTACTTTCTCGAGTACCGAGTTTCCGAACAATAACTATTAATAAATATTAATCCTACATTATAAGATTTATAAACAGTGCCTTTACGGGTATGACTGATATACGTTACGTGATATACGTGAAAAGGAACCGTTTGTCTTTCATCTTTTTCGAATACATTACATACTGAATTAACTATAAACATAGCTTCATATATTTTTTGATTTTTGTTTTCATATTTTGTAAAATTACGGGACTTTTTCTGGGTACAACATTTTTCAAAAGATGTGAAATATGTTAACGTCGTGCAAATGAGTAAAAGTGAGTGATATTTGCCTGGAATAAGATAACCGAACCATCACTGATCTGTCGACGAATTTCGAAACTTAAATGCATACAAAAAATGTTATAGTAAAATTTGGAAAAAGCTTTAACATTCGTAACGTGTCTTAATAGAAAGAAATTGCTCAAGTAAGGACCTGAAGTAAGTGATTCATTATAGACATTCTTAACACGATATAAAAATAATACTGAAAATTATAATAATAGAACTTTAATATATAAGTCATAGTGTTTAAAGTGTATGTTGTAAAATAACGTTAGTATGCATCTGTGAGCAAATTGTTCTAGAAATTTCTGATGCCTTGTGTGTGTGTGTGTGGAAGCTGTTTACTTTTTATATATAGTCTACTTATATACGCTCTACTTGACATCTTATAAGGCAACTTATAGTTTGGTTATAACTTATTCTAATAATTCTTGAATACTATTTATATCTGCTGTCGTGTAATAATTAAAATACTTTATATTGACTATAGGTGTCAAGGTGTCAGGTGTGAAGTGTTTGACAATAAAAATTTAGAAAACAATACACGAGTATTTTTCCATATCTCTATCTCTAAAGGAGCAGGGTCTTTGAAATATATTTACATAGATTATAAATGATTTCTTAATTTCGGTACAACACACTAAATATATAAAAAATTACCTCTAAAGAGCGAGTACCTAACATGGGTGATTAGACTATATATTAATATATAGTTAAAAATGTTTAATTGTTTCAGTGGTGGTTTAATGTTCATTAAAGAGAGGTTTTTCTCGATTTACTGGTAATGAATTTTTTTTAAACATTCTTTATTGGACCTTATGCTATATTTTTAAGTATATTTATATTATATATATAGTATGCTTACAGTGTTCTAAAGATATATATCAAATTTTTACACCGCTTATAGCAAACTTTTATAATAAAACCTCATTGTCTAGACTTAATTAAGAATTTCAGCCCAGTTAGGTAGTGCATTTTTTGTTTTTAAAAGAACTTGCAGCTGCTTGGTCCTTATGTGATATCTTCAAGTAGACCTATTTTATGTTGTTTTTTATAATTATTCGGCATAGATATCTGGATTTTATCTTAAACAAACTCCTATATGTATATATAATTGTATAAATCAAGAATAGGAAATATATAACGTATATATGTAGAATAAATATATAGAATATAGAATAATATGGAATATAAAAACATAGAAAATTAATGTTATCTTACATTTAAATTCTTTAAAGTTATTTCTATTCTGATTTATTAATTATTTTACATATTTTTCAATATTATTTAACCACCGTTTCGATATCGAATTTGTGTTGAATTTTATTGCGTTTGTAGATTTTATTGAAATTTCATTCTTAATATATTGACTCCTTCCTTGCCTTACAGTGGAAAGCTTTACAGTGGTGGAAGTATATGCTGTGTGAGGCATTTACTGCAACATCATATTTCAATTATTGTTGCTGAAACATGGAATGAATGCATTTGTAAGCATTTGTATTGGTTTGCGTTGGAGTTTGTTTAGCCGATGATGACAATGACGATGATAACGAAGATGATGATGACGCTGGCCCTAGTTATATCTTAAATTGGTATAACGATCGCGATTACAACTGTGGCTATAGATGTGGCTTTGGTTATGGTTATAGTTATAGTTATGGTGATGATGATTATGATTATGGTGATGATGATGGTGATGGTGATGACGATGGTGGCGGTGTTACTGATTACGATAGCGCTT